CACAGAACGAAACCGAAGAAATTTCGGGAAACGAATAAATTTTTAGGTGTCCCAGAATTTATGAAAACAGCTGTAATCCGAATAGACCCAAAGAAATAGGATCGAAGCTCTAGTTTATAGTATTTGCAAGAAAGAGAAATGTATATTAACGAAAAAAAAATAAAGACTGAAGTAATTCTTACTAATGTCGCTATAAAGGTCCTATTTTCTGTTCTAGGTCCCAATGTAGGTTTGTCTCTAGCAAAGCCCGACCTACAGAAAGAGAGAGATATTAGTTTATGTTAAAAAAGAAATTAAGTATTAGACAAGAGAAAAAGAACTGATATTTATCATCAGACAAGTCTTTAATTCCCCGCTCAAGTCTAATTTCTATTAATCGGTATAATTCTAGCGAAGCCCAGATCTACAGAAAAAAAATGTTAGTTCAAGTGAGAAGAAAAAAAAATTAAGCATTGGACAAGAAAAAAAGAAGGTGATACTTATCATTAGACCGGTCTTCACCCCTGCCTGTTTTTAATTCTTCACCCGAGTCTAATCTCCATTGACTAGCGCAATTCGCATTCTAACAAAGCCCGGACCTATAGAAAGAAAGAAAGTGTTACTGCTACTTTCATAATTTCTGGAACACTTACTTGTTACCCGAAATCTTTTTGGTCATTCGGTAAATTATTTAACTCTCTGGAAACTACATCGATGTCTTCGGACCTTCAGTCCAGAGGCAGCAAAGTAATTTCCGGAAAGTTAGATAATTTACCGGATGACTAGAAAGATTTCGGGTAATGAGTAAGTGTTCCAGAAATTATGAAAGTAGCAGTAATACCTATTATGAAAAGAAATTGAGCATGGAACAAAAAAAAACTGTGACTCGCTATTAGAAAAGTTTCTCTAACTAATCTTGTTCGATCTAACAAAGCACAAAATGGCAGAAGTATTATTTCATAATAATAAAGAAGACATTAATCACAAGAATAAAGAAAGAGAAATTGCAATTATTATCTTCACCAAATCTATTCATTGCCAGCGAGGCCAAGATCTACGTAAGTGAAGAGTCGCCTAAGTCAAAATCTCTAACACAAAAAGAAGCTGAGAACGTTAGTGAACTGTTATAAATGGTATAAACTTGCCGACTAGATAATGCATATAAATGGTATAAACTAGATAATGCATACATTAGAAATCAAACCTTCGAAGGTGACGACGATTGCAACAGCGAAAAAAGTTCAACGACGGTGAAAAGAACGTCTGAATTATTTCAAATATAAAAAAAAAAAACCGACAAAACGTTAATAAGAAAAAAGTTGAATTAAATAAAAATAAAAAAGACACAAGAAAGTACTTACCCAAATGACAAGTTTTCTATTAATCAAAATCGAATTTACTAAAGGCAAGAAACACCGACGAGATTTAACAATTATCGTTATTACAGTATTCTGGTATTACAGTATTAGTAAATCTATTTTTAGTGCAGTCGTTGGGATTTTCTATTTTTATCTGTTGACTGCATCATGTGATTAAAATTTCAAATCCGATTAACTCAAAATTATATATATGGTAGTTTCGGCCCTTTTAACTGCAAAGCCCTCATATAATACTCTTCTGTTTTAATATACTAGTTACTAATTCAAATACAATTGTCTAGGAACTTATATTTTTTCTTACATATAAGCTATCTCTTTCAATAAGCTGATAAAGCTTCATATTATCATATAATGAATTTTGGCTATTATACAAATGTTCAAGTTCATTTTGTAAAATACTATTATATAGTACAAGAAGCTTTATTTTTATTTTTTTTGTTATTCGTTTGTCTGCTCAATAGCTTGTAATTACAAGATTATAAGATTTACTACTTAAATTAATTCAAGATAATGCAGATGTTTCTCAAATAATATTTGGTAGAATATGATTACATTTAATAGTCATATGTACAGAAAATTCTGTTTCAACTTCAGAAAGCATAACTTTTATAAGAATTTGTATACTACATTTGTGCATGTCAAAAGGATTTTTGAGATTATATTGATCTAAATAGTAATTACATATTTCTATACATTTGCTGATTCCACTACATAATCTTTGACAGCTGCCTTCACTAAAACAAAATCAGGTCCATCACCAAACATAAATATCATCCTCATTTTCTGCATATATTTGTTGAATTTAGCATTTCTATTTTTAGTAAGTTGTAGAATATTATCAAGACAATTTGTTGATTTACTTTTACCTTTTTTAGTTTTCCATCTAATATAGTCAACAGAACCTTCTACATATTCAACTATTACAAGTTCTTGTTTTACTGCTTTATTTACTCATCTTCAGCTTTAAACCTTATAATGAATATTTTATGATATAAGAAGTGAATACAGGTAATATTCTACTACTTACCTAAATAGTAGCTAAACATTGCTATTACTATCTATATGAAAAGGATAAAAAGTTATCTTGTATAAAATTAATTGTATATTTATTATCAGATAAAACCTATTTTATTGTAGTCTAATTAAAGATGAGTTGTAGTAAGAAATATAGCTTGTATTCTTCATTTTTTACTAGGCAAAAAGATCTATGTTCTTTATTATTTTGTCTTTAGTCTTTTTTTATTATTTTTATATTAACATTTTTTCTTTAATAGAATAACACATTCCGATAGATACGTAGCATGTTTTCTTTTTGATATACAAATTTGTGGTGTGGACATAACATAAGGGAGGGTAGGGTATTATGACACAGGTAGGTATTGTGATGCACTCATGTTTTTTGACGATAACTCGTGATGCATTGATCATAATTGAGTATCGTTCGATTCGTCTTACTGAGACGAATCATTATAAATTTTTTTTTGGTTCTAGTTGCTAAATTATAATATATAAGTAAAAGTTGATACGTATTCCTTATGACAGTATTAAGTTTCTTTTAATTTTTATAATATATTTCTTCATTTGGGTAATGTCCGGAGGAAGGATGCAATAATACAATATGAAACACATGGTGTGTCATAATAAGCTCATTTCAATATTTTTCTTTAAAGTTGAATTTTTTTATAGTTAATTCACTGAGTAATCTATTTCAATAAATTTTGTAAATAAATACGCTATTCCTAAAAATTTTTATATAAGTAACTCTTAAGTGTATTATCATATCCTACTCTCCTTTCGATGATAAGTATTTTAGCTGTGTTTTTCATTCTATTATTTTTTTGTTTAGGGATTTTTTGCATCCTTTGAATGTGTGCTAGGTTTATGACGCAGTTGGCCTAAGCCATAATGATCAAACAATAACGACTATACAGAATACGTAATAAACTTATTACAGTACTACATAGTTAATGCCGTAAACTTTACTTATTACTATAATTAGCTTTTTTATTACTATACGTACGTAGTATAATTAAAACTTTCCATACTAATCGATAATATTACCTTTATTGGATTTTCTCGTACTCCTTTCTGCTTAACGTTAACGAAATTTCAAAAATGGTATGGATGAACTTTGAGTGCAGTTAATAACAATATTTTGAGAATAAATAACTGGTATATGGAATTATTTGACGAACAAGAAATTTTTTTAATAAATATCCTCTTTAATGAACGAGAGGAGTTTTTTTAACGATATCGCTATATACGAATATTAAATACTTATAATTAATTCAACTGATTTTGATAACTTTAATGTTAATGAATGAATGAATATTTTTATTCTTTTTTTTTTATGGATTAAGCGAACTTTTTTGATATGAAAAATGGATTTTTTTTTTACCGATTTGACTTAATTTTTTTTTTTTTTTTTGATAATATTTCAAATAATAATAATAATAATAATAGAATTCTCTACCTGAAATGTTAAAATCAATGCTTCCACAACAATATTCATATTCAATCAAAAATTTTAAAGAATTGTCATCTTACCAGACACCTGAAAACTTCGAAATACCACAATTCGAACTTGATATATTCGTGAACGTTAATAATAAAGAGAAGGCACATGAATGGTTTTTAGAATTTGAATCATGTTCTAAAACAACAATGCCCCAGACTAGGGGTTATATGATTAAAGGAAAGCAGGTTATTTTTAAAGAAATGTGCCATTGTATACACAGCAATGAAGTAAAAAAAAAGCAAGGGAATCGTGAGACAAAATGACCACAATCATCCCGTGTACGAAATATCTTTTGCAATGCAAGTATCCATCTTCAGTTGGAGAAATGGCGTCTTGAATTAAGCCATCCATTAGAAGTAAATCTCAAATTTACGCACAATCATGTAATTGATTCTGCAGAATCATTAAGTTTTCGACGTGTTAAAGAGGAAATACACGATAAATTCTTAGGTCTATTCAATGATGGGCATTCTCTCATTTCAGCACTATACTCACATGAAGATGATCTTCATCTTTCTGCTGCCAATGACCAAGAGTTATTAGAATTACTTGCAGATAGAGCAAGTAATCCAGATTATAATTATGTTGTTAGACTTTTTCATCAATATCGTGAAGCTATACTTGGTGACCAAAATGGTAAAAATATGTTCGATCGTTTAGAAAAAATAGTGAGTGATTATAATAACTTAGGGAATAGTAAAGCTGTACTGCAAAGATATGATACATATAGTGGAAATGCATTTATTTTGTGTATTGTAACTGGCTTGATGTCTCGAGTGCATGAGAAAGTGCCACAGGCAGGTGAATTATACTACATAGATGCGTCAGCTTCATTTGAGCCTTTCAATACTTCGATAACACTTTTATATACAAGTTGTTCTGCTGGTGCCCTGCCTCTTGGCTTATTTATTACTTCGGATGAATCAGAGATTACAATAGAAAAGGCGGTAATTTTGTTTTAAATTTCTAATTAATATTCTTTTTTAATAAAAATCAGTTCTAATAAATTTAAATTAGTTATTTTTATTGAAAACAATTCTTCTACCATGCGTATTTTACGGACGTGGACCACAAACTGGGCCAGCAATTATTCTTACAGACGATTCAAGTGCAGAGCGTAATGCTCTAGGGCTTTGCTGGCTACAAGCAATCTGACTTCTTTACACATTTCACATATTACAAGCTTTTTGGAGGTGGCTTCACGATTCAAAACATTGTATTAGTAAAAATCATCGAGTGCTAATTATGAACAAAATGAAAAAAATTCTTTATGCACCAAGTTTTTTAGAAATGGACTTACATTATAATGAGCTTAAACAAGATTTTTATTCCCTTTATCCTTTACTAAGACGGCACTTTGAAATTTTATGGGAACATCGCTGTTTTTGGGCCTTGTCATTTCGCTCTGGATTACTTGTTCGAGGGAATAATACTAATAATTATATAGAGTGCAGTTTTGGAATTTTAAAGGATATAGTTTTTGCCAGAACACAGGCATACAATTCCGTACAAGTATTTCACTATATAATTTCAAAAATGGAACGATTTTATGAGCAACGGTTACTTAGTATTGCACATAAACGTCCTGGTCATTTACAAAATGCAAGAAGATTTCTATGTCCCATGTAGGACACTGTAGACGCAAACTTGATTCAAAAAACAGAAGAAGAAAATGAATTCTTAGTATCAAGTACAAGGCAGAATGGCCTTTTCTACACTGTAAACACTGCAATTGGAACATGTACATGCTCAATTGGTATGAATGGTGCATCTTGTAAGTATCAGAGTGCGGTCGCAGCAAAATTTCAAATTACTTCTTTAAATTTCTTGCCATCTTTAACACCTATTGATCGAATGGTTTATATATATATTGCATGTGATAAGCATCTATCATTTTTTTTTAAAATATATCAATCAGAAAAGGCTTTATCTACCTTTTTATTTTATTTTATTTTTTATTTTTAGGTCAAGTTGCAAAAGAAAGTTCATTTTATGCTTCGTTACATCCTGGTTTTACATCGCAAGAATATTTACTAAGTTCAAAAACATCTAATGAGATATTGGAAACAACTTTGAAGTATGTATTATTATTATTATTATTATTATTATTATTATTATTATTATTATTAAATAATTTTAATATTTTACAAGAGAATTAGCTGAACCAAATGAAAGAATTGATGACTATTCAGTTGAACAAAATGAAGAAATTAAAGGTTCTGCGCTCGACATTTTCCTTGAAGAAATCAAGAATGATTACTAAAATGCCAGTTCACAATATCGCACTGCCTTGGATAAATTTATTGATCGATATCGAGCATCAAAATCATTTTCAATTTCACGATTAACCTCCTTCCTGTATAACAGTAATCGTAATATAGATTTGCCACATGTTAAAAGTGGTGCTATGATCTGTGCTTAAGTCGAATCTGTTAAACGTTGTAAGTTAGAAGGAACCAGCGGAACTAGAAGATTACGTACTATCTCAAACAAAGTAAAAGAAAACCTTGATTCTCAAACTATTCCATGCAGAAAAAAGAGAAAGGTTAATAAAAGAGAACATAGCTTGGGCAAGAATGTTGCAAAAAATCAAATGAATTAATTTTATTGTATTTTAAAGATTTGTACTTCGAAGATATATATTTTGCATTTCGAAGACATATATTTTGTATTTCAAAGATGCATATGCTGTAACTGTATCGTGTTAATTTAAACTTAAAAAAATATATGCACATTTCTATCTTTTTAAATTTGTACAGTATTCAATAATTTAATCTTAACTGCAAACTAACGTAGTTATGTGATTTAATTGTGGCTGTAGCTGACTGCGCTATAAACCTAGTACACATTCAAGGGATATAGATTTTTTTAATCGTTACATATTATGGACTTTGATATCGTATTATGCAATAACGACATCGTATTATGCAATAACAGTATTCACGTGAGGATAGTCATCGATTATTGTCTTAAGAGATTACTATTATGGCAGTTCAATATAATGAATAAGATGATCGAATTATTGATCATGAAATAGTTGATATACGTAATAGCTTTTCTTTGTATATATGTATAATATGAAATTTTAAAATAACAATAAATAATTAAAAATTAAATATAAAAGAATTGTTTTTTTTGATAATAAAAAAAATTCTTTGTTTAAATTTTTTAATAAATTTATTTATTTACAGTTTATAATTATTTTTTTTTTAATTATAATCATTAAAGATGACTTCAACTCATATTTTATTTGATAATATTTTTAATGATACTCATTCAGAATTATTATCTTTACAACAACATATAGAAGAATTTCAAATAATTTATCAATCTAATACAACAATTTTTAATGATCAAATTGATTTATATACTGAGAATCAAGAAGAATTAGAAGAATCTGTTCTTTTAGATGAATTTATTTCAACTGAATCTATTTTAAATAATGAACAGATAAATAAATTTAAAAAAATTTATTTAAATAATAAAATTAAAGATATTGAAGATGATAATGATAATCAAAAAATTAAAAAAAAATTAGATAAAAAAAATGAAGAAGCTCAATATAAAAAATTAGAAACTACAATATATTGTGAAGAAAGATGTTTTCAAAATTTAATTTTTCATGAACATGCTATTACAAATTATCAAAAATTTCAAAATTTAAATAATAATCAAAAAGACATGTTTTTATTAGGAATAATATCTGCAACTATTCGACAAGAAACTACTACTAAAAATCAAAAACGTAATAAGCTTGCTAATAAATATATTTTTGAAGGAATAGAAATTTGTAATAAGGCATTTTTAATAATTTATGGAATTGGAGAAAAATATTGGAAAAATATTCGAACTCATTTTATACAACAAGGAATTAGTTTAAGAATACATAAATCAACTGGAAAAACTAGTCATTTTGCAATATTATTTGAAACTGTCTTAAAAATACTTACTTTTATAACTAATTTTGCAAATATTCATGGATTACCTTCACCAGGTATTTATAATTAATTTATATTTTTAAATTATATATATTATAATAATTAATAAAATTTTTAATTAATAAAGGACAAAATTTTTGTAAAGATACTTTGCCAATAATTTTTCTTCCTGCTAGTAAAAGCTATTCTTCATTATATCGATTATATATATCAGCAATAGAAGTTCAAGATCAACATATAATTCATTTATCAACTTTTTGGCGTATTTGGAATAAATATATTCCATAAATTAAATTTTTATCTCCAAGAAGTGATTTATGTTTTAAATGTAAAAATATGCGTTTTAATTCAAAATATTGGACTGATCAAGAAACTGAATTATATGTAGCTGAATGGAATTATCATTTTCAATGGGCACAAAAAGAAAGAGAATATTACAGGTTTTAATTTTATTAATATTTTTTAAATATATAATTTAAATTTTAATTAAATTTTTAAATTTTTAGAACTTGTATACAATCATCAAAATTAGCTTTACAACAATTTTCAAATTTTCCTAATTTTTTTCGATCTAATAATCCAAATTCTCTTAATATTGAAAATCATATATCATGGGATTATGCTGAACAAATAAAAATACCATTTTCTTCACAACAAGAGGTATAAATTAATTCTATTATAAATATTTATTTTATTTTTATTAATTATATAATATATTAATATATTTTTTTATAAAGGGAAATATATATTTTAAATCTCTTTATAATATTCAACTTTTTGGAATTTGTGAAGATGCATTTCCAATTCAAGTAAATATTTATATTTATATAATAAATATTATTTATAAATATTTATATATTTTTTATTTTTAGAAAAATTATTTAATAAAAGAAGAAGAAAGTATTGGAAAAGGTGCAAATGCAGTTATATCACTTGTACATAATTATTTTACTTTTCATGGATTAGGTGAAACTAATTTAGTTATTCATGCAGATAATTGTTCTGGACAAAATAAAAACAATGCTATGATTATGTATTTAGCATGGCGAGTTGCATGTGAATTACATACACAAATTACTTATTCATTTATGATAGCTGGATATACAAAATTTAGTCCTGATGGATTTTTTGGTCTTATTAAACTAAAATTACGAAAATCAGAAGTTGATAATCTTGATGATGTAGTAAAAATAGTTAAAAATTCAACTAATGGAAATATTAATCAAGTACAAACAATTTTTGATAAAAATAAGAATAGAGTAGTACATTTTTATAATTGGACAAAATTTTTATCAAAATTTTTTAAACCTATTCCTCAAATTTTAAAATATCATCATTTTATATTAAGTAAAAATAATATAGGTAAAGTAGAAGTTAAAACAACAATTGATAAAGACAAACAAATTATAAATATGATAAAATCAAAAAATATTGATATTTTAGGATTTCCAGAAGAAATTTTTCCTACAGAATTATCAGCTGAAAGACAATGGTATTTATATGAACAAATACGTCAACATATTAAAGATCCTCAAAAACAAGATGAATATTGTTCATTACCAAATATTCCAAAACCAGCAAAAAAAAATTAAAAATTTTTATATAAAATAAATATTTAATATACTGTATAATAAATTTTTTATTTATTTAATAATTTATAAAATTTAAATTTTACATTAATTTTAAGAGAATTTACATATAAGGATTCAAAAATGAAAATAATTACAGATGAGGACCCAAAATAAAAATTTCTTACACATAGTAGCCCAAAATCAAAAATTATTACAAATAAGATCTCTGAGCTATACTAGATGACTAAGCTACAAACTTAAATAACGTTACCCAGAAAAAAGGTAGCTGAATTAAAATGCAACTAACTTTTTACATGAAAAAAAAACTAAAGGTACTCTTCACAAACCTTGCTAACAAACTTATAACTTTACGAATTTTAATACATTGATTAAAAAGATTTTTATACATAACTAAATAACATAAATAATATACGTAGTAATTTGGAAATTAAAATCTTTTGTATTTACTAGATAAATTAACATTAATAAATAAGAAACAAAATACGAAATATTCATGAGCTTAAATAGCTTATTTAAACGATCAATCAAAATTATATTTTTGTGAATTCAACATGGCAAAATTCTCAAAGTAAAAGTGAAAGTCAAACTGAAAATCAAAGAGAAGGTCAAAGATAAAACGAAAATCATAGTAAAAGCCAAAATGCAAGTTAAAATGAAAGTCAAAGCAAAGGAAAGTCAAAGTGAAAATTAAAATGAAGTCAAAGCAAGAGTCAAAATGAAAATCAAGTCAAAACAAAAATCAAAGTAAAAATCAAACTGAAAATCAATGTAAAAATCAACCTGAAAATCAATGTAAAAATCAACCTGAAAATCAATGTAAAAATTAACCTGAAAATCAATGTAAAAATCAACCCGAAAATCAAAAGTAAAAACCCCGCTACTATTTTTCTGAGAGATGCTATGTAAGTCTTGTAGCTTAGTCTCCTAGTATAGCTCGGAGATCGAACAGGCCCTTGATTGTAATAATTTTTTATTTTGGGCCGCTACGTGCAAGAATGTTTATTTTGGGCCCTCATCTGTAACTATTTTCATTTTTTGGCCTCTATGTGTAAATTCCCCCCTAATTTTATATAAATAAAAATTTTTTTATACAGATATATTTACATCATAATATATTATATCGCATACAGCAAATACAAGTTGTTTTTTAACACGCTATCATTAATTGAGTTGCATCAAATTAAAATTTAGATCAGTTACAGCACTATCACACGTTATACATCTGCGCTGTCATACATCTACTAATATTATAAACCTATGGTTACAATATCGAAACGTCATATATCTACGCTGTCATACATTACAATCCTAACAGCATCGAAACGTCATATACCTGCGCTGTCATACACCTGCACCATTATATATCTACTGAGATTACAATCCCAATAGCGGTTACAAAGTCAAAACATTATAGTGGCAACCTCGCAATATATAGAACAATCTAAAAAAGAAATAATTAGATCATACAAACTTAGTAAATCGGTTTTCATAACATAAAATTTTCAAAAGTAACCCGGCGACCGGCTTTTAATTTTATTTTCAAAAAATTTAATATGTAAATAACATATAAAATTTTTTATAAAAACTCACTCGAATAGTAAGTATACTTGAAAATTTTTTTGAGTTTTGTAAATTTTGACCCGGTCAGGTTATGAAAACTGATTAATTAAGTTTGTACAGCCTTAAAGACTTGGCAAAAATAAAAAAAAAAAAAAAGAATAATAAACAAAAAATACTTATAAATATATGTCTTCACATACCTACGTCTATGCTTCACAAATTCGAATTAGTTGTGTGCCTTAAAAATAAAGAAATGTGCTAGAATGAATGTTTTTAACAGAAAATGGATAAATCAAAAAGAACTAGAATTTACCTTAACGTCTAAGTTCATTATTCATCATACTTGCAATAAAGAGAAATATAGGCGCTGTTCAATAGAAAAGGGAGAAATCTCTTTTTAAATCTGGTCAAATTGATCAGATTTAAAAAGAGATTTCTCCCTTTTCTATTGAACAGCGCCCATATTAGTAACTGTATTAACGAACTGAAGCGTAATAATACTTACATCACTACACTTTCTGTTCTAGGCCCTAGTGTCTGTTTTGCATTCTAGCGAAGTCCGACTTACAGAAAGAGATAATAAATTCAAGTTGAGGAGAAAAGAACTTAAGCATTAAACAAGATAAAAGAAATGGTATTTATCCTCAGACAAATCTTCAGTTCCCGCCTACATCTAACTTCCATTGACTAGTATCTTTCCAGTGAAGCTCAACTTGTAAACTGAACTAATATTCCAAACATAACATATCCTTAGACCTATAGAAAGAAAATGTTGGTTCAAATTGAAAAGAAAAGAAATTAGGCTTGGATAAGAGAAAAAGAAACTGATATTTAGCATTAAACCAAGTTCTCAATTCCCCGATTCTTCACCCGAACTAATCACCATTGACCAATGCCGTTTCAGCGAAGCCCAGGCATACATAAATAAAGAAACGTTAGTTCATACTGAGAAGAAAAGAAATTAAGCATTGGAAAAAAGAAAAAGAAACCGATACTTGTTATTAGACTAGTTCTCAATTACCTGTCACCCGAGTCTAATTTCTAATGACCAACTGCCATTCCAACAAAACCCAGACCTACGAGAAATAAGGTTTAGTTCCTTATAGAAAAAAAAAATACACAGAACAAAGAGAAACTAATACTTACCATTAGACCAATCCTCAACTCCACATTCGTGTCTAATCTTTGTCTATTGCCAATTTCATGTTCAACGAAGCCTAGACCTATAGGAGAAAGAAAAGAATTATTTTCTGTAAAAAATAAAATAAAATAAAATAAAATAAATAGAACAGAACAGAAGAAGAGAAACTTCAGGCTAGTTCCCCACTCAAGTTTAAATCCTATTTCCTAATGCTAAATTCACGCTTTAACAAAACCCACGCGAAAAGAGAAGAAATTAAACAGAGTAAGGAAAAGAATAACTAGTGCTTTTCGTTTGGTTAGTTCTCAGCTTAAGTCCAAAGCAAACATTGTTCCCCTTAATGTTTAACAAGACTTATGATAATGAAAGTGTTAAAGTCGATATCGATAGAATACACTCGGAGCGAGTACAAGTATTTAGAAAAAAATAATATACGTGTATTAAAGTAATAATTAATCGTAATAATGATAATTACTAAATTATTATAAATTATTAATTTAGTAACGAAGACATTGTTCCAATTACAATCGTCATTAGTATTCTACGTACGATCTCGAAGAGCTATTTTTAGACGTCGATCATTTCTTTAACTTCTTTTACTATTTTTAGATTCTGGCAATTTCGTGTAACTTTTTCTTTAAACTTGAATAACTTGATTTTTTATTATGTAAATCGATTTTTGTTAATAATTAAAAAATGTAGCTTGTACTAAAATTTATTAAAATTTAACAAAAACTCAATTTTTATTTTTTTGGTAGTTTCGGCCTTTTTAACTGCAAAGCCCTCATATTGTCACGCCTATAATTTTCTATTTCTTTATTTTTCTTTTATTTTATTTTTAGTTTTATTATTTGATTTAGTAT